GGTTAAAATACATACTTATTTATGTGCTGAAATTGAATATGTACAACATATTTTCAGTTATTTGGATTAGTACAAGAATTTTATCTCTAATCTATTTTGTTTCAGCTTACCATTTTGTCTCAGAGGAGCAGTTTAAGAAGTTAATTGCTGAAAATGGCTTCATTGAATATGCTCAATTTTCTGGAAATTTCTATGGAACAAAGTAAACAAAAAAAAAGCCTTTAAAAAAAACTCACATCTAATTTTATTTAAGAGCATTCTATTTATATCAATCAGTCTGTTAATCTTCATTTTTTGGTTATCGTCATGGTTACATTAAGCATTCGGAACATTTCAGTAAAACGTCGGTGAAGGAGATTACAAATTCTGGAAAACTCTGTGTACTAGATGTTGAAATCAACGGAGTCAAAAATATAAAAAAATCTGGCCTCAAGCCAACACCAAGATACATCTTCATTAGCCCACCAAGCCCGGAAGTTCTGGTATGTCTTAAACATTGGCAGGCGTTTATTTTATTTAGTCTTAACCCTCTTATCTTACCGTGTAACAAAAAGCATTCAGTTGTACATCTGGGTTTAATAAACTATAATAGTCTGATTGTAGATTTCGGCAGGAATCATGTCGGGGCCAGGTACTTTGCCATTGGACATTTGGCGGATCGCTGTCTGTATCTCATCAAAAGTTGGGACGGCGTCCAGTGAATTGTTCGTTGGGACCTGGGGGAGTCTTTCAATGGCCTCATCATTAATGATGGAAGGTGTATTGAGCACACTTTCAAAGTGTTCCGCCCATCTTTCCAAGATTTTCTCTTTGTCTGTAATGAGCGTAGAACCGTCAGCACAAAGGAGAGGGGAAGAGCCTGAGGTGGAGACACCATAGATTTCTCTCAGGCCACGGTAGAAGTTTTTCATGTCTTTCTTGTCTGCAAAGCCCTGTATTTCATCAGCTTTTGAATTCAACCAGGAATCTTGCATCTGGCGCAGTTGTATCTGGACCTTGCTGCGGATGCCCCTAAGTGCAGCTGTCTTTGCTGTTGACGTTGGGTCATCATGGAGGGCCTTGTACGCTCGGCGTTTTTGCTCAAGAAGAATTAGGATAGCTGTGTTGTTTTCATCAAACCAGTCCCTGTGTTTCCTCGTAGAGGGTCCGAGGCGCTCAACGGCTGTATTGTAGACCATCTCACGAATCGTGGTCCATGCTTGTAGACAGTACCTATTGGTTGTAGACAGTGCTGATTGGTTTTAGATGGTGCCTATTGGTTGTAGACAGTGTCTATTGGTTGTAGACAGTGCCTATTGGTTGTAGACAGTACCTATTGGTTGTAGACAGTGCCGATTGGTTTTAGATGGTGCCTATTGGTTGTAGACAGTGCCTATTGGTTGTAGACAGTGCAGATTGGTTGTAGACAGTGCCTATTGGTTGTAGATAGTGCCTATTGGTTGTAGACAGTGCCTATTGGTTGTAGACAGTGCCTATTGGTTGTAGACAGTGCCTATTAGTTGTAGACAGTGCCTATTGGTTGAAGACAGTGCCTATTGGTTGAAGACAGTGCCTATTGGTTGTGGTAAGTTTCTCTAGCTTTTGTGGATTTTTCCATTTCCTACAAGGCAGTCGGTTGTGATTTTGGTCCGCCTCGGGTATTTTATTTTACACGGTGCCCACCATACCTGATTGGTTTTCCCCTATCGGTCACCTGGTGAGGCGCTTGATGGAAAGATAGCTAATTCCACACGAGTTTTACTGTCTGCAGTATTTGTTATAAGATAATGAGAGAGACATTAAATTTATACCCAATTTAGTAAGAACAGTAATCTTTTATTGTCAACAAAAATATGCCATTGTAATGGTTGGTACATAGGTTGGTACATAGGTTGGTACATAGGTTGGTACATAGGTTGGTACATAGGTTGGTACATAGGTTGGTACATAGGTTGGTACATAGGTTGGTACATAGGTTGGATGTTTAGAAATTTTATGACTAACAATATGTCTTTTTTTTTCTTTCGTCAACAGCTGACACAGGTGCCTATGATTTTATCATTGTTAATGATGACCAGGAACGAGCATATTCAGAACTTAGAAGTAAATTAGCTGAAGTAAGTGAATCAGACAAAGCTTTGGAATTAGAAGCAATTTATTCTTGCTGGAAAATTTACGTGTTGTATTTATCTAAAAGTATTTTTTTTTTTTTCTTCATCTTTCCAATGTTGCATTCCTCAGTTGTGTGAGAGGTGAGGAATTTCTCTGCCTCATTTCTCATCTTATCTCTTATTCAAAATTTGGTTTTTATGTCACCAGAGATCTCTGTGTTGATTCCATGTTGTAAAGTCTTTCCAGTCTTTTTTATGTGAACTGTTTAAAAGGGTTACTTCATAATCCAGGGTTTATCTTCTGGAGTGGTAGTCACTTGAGAGAGAATTCAATAAATAGGTTTGGAACATTTGTCTAAAAACCTCCTTTTTTTTTCTCTCTTTCTTTTAGGAACTCAACATTGTTCAAGAGAACTTTAAGAAGAGAGGCTGAGCCCTCAGAGAATAGGAGATGAACAAATATATTTTAACATAATGGTGTGAATCTTTGTTTTCAAAATTAATACAATGATGCATTCTAACATTTAGTTTTAGAATGTTTCTGATCTGTCATTTTATTGGAATAGTTGTTTTTCAGTGCATATTGTTTTATAAATCCGCTGTTGACTCATAACTATAAACAAATTGACTCATAACTATAAACAAATTGACTCATAACTATAAACAAATTGACTCATAACTATAAACAAATTGACTCATAACTATAAACAAATTGACTCATAACTATAAACAAATTGACTCATAACTATAAACTTTTTAGATTTTTACTTTAGACACGTTTCATCATATTTAAGTCATGTGTTTCATTATTTGCCAATTAGCAAGTTTATTATTTTTTTTAGTTGACATATCAGATTATTGAATGCGAAAATTATTTTATTTTATTTTAATAGGAGATAAATTTACATCTGGGATTGAAAAAAATTATGGTTTTTAACAGAAAAAATAACTAAGAATCTAACTAAATGAACTGGAGCACAGCTACTGTTAGAACACATTCTGGTTCCAAATAGGCTTTAGGAAAAGGTTCTTGAAAACTATTGGTTAAAATATGTAGTATAATATAATAATGTAGCCTATTTGTCATTCTTATTTGCACATAGTGGGACCAGATTACTCCTGTTTTGCTTACAAGTTACTGGCTTGAAAAGGGCTTGTAAACAAAACAAAAAATTGTCATTCAATTTTACATGGCATGTGGTGTTTTAGTTTTAGTAAGGTTAGCGTCACTTTGCTGTATTTCATTACTCGACTGAAAACAATGTTTTGAAATATGCAGAGACAGATTTTTTGGTACATCATTTCAATTTTTATACTACAGGTATTACTATATTATGTGTTCTATTTCATTCTAGACCAGCCTTAAGCTGAAATGCTGCAGGGGTAGCAGGAGGGGGTTCTGCTTCTTTTTTTTATTCCTCTCACAATCTGTCACAGATTGTCATCCATATGGCATGCATAATCATC